TTTTTTTAATTTTTATTAGTTGGAGGCTAATTACTTTACATCATTACAGTAGTTTTTGTTATACATTGATATGAATTAGCCATGGATTTACATGTACTCCCCATCCCAGTCCCCCCTCCCACCTCCCTCGGGGTCTGACATTTAAACAGACCTTGCAGGTGCTGAAGAATCTCTAGAAGAACAATAGCATTCAGACAGGGAGTCTTTCTCATTGTCAAAGAAATGCCATGGCAACCTCCCAGTGAAGCTGTGTGTGGGCGGATGGGACCGAGCCAAATGCAAGTTCACCCTATGTGTGCTCATGTGTTTCACATGGATCACCCTCCCTTGTAAATCCTCATGTAACTATATATAATCAGTCACATATGCTTATATCAGCTACCCCAAAGCAGCTTCTAATTGGTACTTCAAGCTCAGAACAAGGAGTGAAACCGAATAAATTTATCAGTGAGGGGGACAGAATCTGCACACAAGCCTACGCTGTATGAATGAACCTAAGGAAAAAAAGGCACTTGTTAGCTTAGAGAGCTCTCCAGGCATGGAAGTCACGTGGAGGAATCGAGAACAATCACTGCTATAACAAGCTGGGACTTTGAGAGTGACTTGATTCTGCAGGTAGAACAAAACTGAAAAATCTTTTTCAGTTTAGCGATTTAGTTTTGACTACAGGTTCCTTGGTGGCTCAGATGGTTAAGAATCTGCCTGCAATGTGGGAGACCTGGGTTCGATCCCTGGATCAGCAAGAATGGCAACCCACTCCAATATTCTTGCCTGGGAAATCCTATGGACAGGAGCCTGGCAAGCTACAGTCCATGGGATCGCAGAGTCAGGCATGATTGAGTGACTCTCACTTTACTTCACGTTTGATTACAGAAGATTCAGAGTAAAGTCTTCACAATTTAGTTGTTTCAGTTGTTGTTGTTCAGTCACTCAGTTATGTCCATAGTGATTTTGGAGTCCAAGAAAATAAAGTCTATCACTGTTTCCATTGTTTCCCCATCTATTTGCCCTGACGTGATGGGATTGGATGCCATGATCTTGGAGGCCCAACACTGTTATTGAAATCAGGAGACTTATTTTCTACTTCAGGATCTCTCACCAGTATCCTTGGCCTGTAGAGAATGGGCCCTACCATTACTTTTGAGGATGAGGACAATACTTTCACCAACGTAATTCTCAAGAGCTTGGTAAAGGAAGTGTATCCTGGGTTTTCTTGAGGTACATAGAAGATGGATGAATGGGATGCCTGGGGTAATTCTACCTCAACATTCATATACCCCACACATTGGATACTTTCCTCCTATCCTGACTGCTCAGAGTATATGAGGAGCAGGAATATTGGCATCACCTGAAGCCTGTTAGAAACCCAGAATCTTGGACTCTCTCCCAGACTTTACTGAGTTAGAATTTTAACAAGACCTCCATGCTATTTATGTGCACATTAAAGCTTGAGAAGCACTAACCTACAGTTATGCCAGCGAATTTCTGGCATCTCAGCATCTTGCAGTTAGGCCACCCCTGAGCCCAGGTATCAGTCACCTAATTGAAAACACAAGGAAAATAATTTCCACCTGCCCAATCTGACATACTGAATTCAGAGTTTGGGGTATACACAAATACCAGTAAAATCAGCCTGATGTAGCATTATGTTTCTCTCTCCTTGGCCTAGACCCCCTATTCTCCATGTTTTTGAAAATAAAAATCAGCAGTATCTTCCCCATCTTTTGGTGTGTGCATCTCCTCCTGGGTTTGTCTTCATAATTATATTCCAGACTATGCAGTTACTGGAAACTGGAATCTACAGGGGTGGCAGAACTCTGAATCATAAGGAGAATGGGTTCCCTTAGCAAGGTCCCCACTGAGAAATGGAATATTGCCCGCCATGTTAGTAAACAAAGGATGTCACAGTCATAAGGGATTGCAGCCGCCACCAGACTACAGCCACCACCTGCCAGTGAGCTGGTGAGCCCTGAGGAACTCAGGAAGGAGAAGAATACCTGACTTTTGGCACCCGGCAGACTGCCATCGTTCCTCATGGTGAGCCCAGAGGAGACTCAGGATGTGAAGACACAGGGTACTGGCCCCACATATCTGAGTTGCATATCAAAGGAATGATTTCAGTGAACCCTGACTGTTGCATTTTCTCCTACTTAGAAAAGTGCTAAATTCCTTAACTTGAGATGTCTGATTTTCCTTAATTAACAAAGACTTTTGACATTCAGACCACCTGCCCTTTGTTGCAAAACTCTTATATATACACCTCCCTCCTTGCCTCTTGGAAGTGGTTCTCTCAGGGTTACTTGAGATGCTGCCTCCTGGGCTTGAAGTCTTAAATATTTCTGCCAAAAAGCACATACAACTTTTAGGTTGTGAATATATTTTTAGTTGACACCACTTCAGCTATGATCTGTAGGCGTCCCTGGGCAAGAAAAGGATGACCTCATCAGGAGGGAAAGGAAAGGCTCCTTCCAAGACATTCAAACTCTCCTGTTACATCCGTTTCATTTTACATGCCCAGATTTTTACGTAAGAATGAATGAGGCTGTGAATTAAACCAATGCTGTAATTCAGCAACCCAGAGCTATGGCCATGCGCCCTAATTCCTGCCAATGAAAGATAGGAGGAGACAAGCTATTGGGCATTGGGAATTTCGTCCTTGCCCCCAAGAGGGAATCAAAGGGGAAAAACAGTTTCTGTCTTCCTCTGGAAGTCTGAGTCTAGATGTGTTACTTGGCACTGTTGTAGTTTACCTGCTATCAGCCTGGGCGTGTAGGCATCACTGAGAGTGATGAAGAATGAAAGCTGCCAGGAGCCTGGGGCCTTGGAGACATTGCTGAGTCTTTGATTCCACCAGCCCCGGGGGCTGTTTTCCTTCATTTCCTGTTATGTGAGATGACATCTTTTAACATCTTTTTAGTCTCTTGGAGTTGGGATATTTGTTAGTATGGCTAGAATCTGGGTGCAGAAGGACTAAGATGTCCATTGATTCCAGATCCCACAGCAAATAAGTGAGAGGCCCAGGATTTAAGTTGGTCTGAAGGCAAAGCCCATGCTCTAGGGATGTGGCCCTGCGTATAGGAGGGACATTGGGATTTTTATTAGTCATCTCCTGGTAGTTCTAGGGCAGGTGATGGCGAAGGGCCAGATAGCAAAGATTTTAGGCTTTGTGGGCCATATAGTCTCTGTCTCAGTTACTCAACCCTGCCATTGTAGCAAAAGTAGCTATAGACAACATGCAAATGAGTGAATGTGGCTGTGTGACAATAAAACTTTATTTAAGTTGGTGGACCTATAGGGTTGTATTTTGCCCATCATTGTAATAGAGTAAAAGGTTGAAAAATTCTGGAATTAGATCCTACATTTTAATTACAAGTGTCATTATATGAAATATTGACTGAATCTGATTTAAGTGTTTGCGGCAAAATGTGAAATTTCAACACAGCCAAATCATGTGTTGCATTTTTGAAAAGTTTTACCTATATCTTCCAATAGCAGGATTTGGGTCACCATAATGTGAGTTGAAGGTGTTTCCTGGATGGTATTAATGATAAAGAATTCTCCTCCCAGTGTTCTTTGCAGGAGGTATAAGAGACAAGGGTTCGATCCCCTTGTGTTGGCACTGCTGCAGTTTACCTACTATCAGCCTGAGCGTGTAGACATCACTGAGAGTGAGAAAGAATGAAAGCTGCCAGGAACCTGGAAGATCCCCTGGAGGAAGGTAAGGCAACCCACTCCAGTATTCTTGCCTGGAGAATCTCAGAGACAGGGGAGCCTGACGGGCTGCAGTCCATAGGGTTGCAAAGAGTCAGACACAACTGAAGCGACTTAGCATGCACGCACAATGTGAGTTGATTTCTAAATACAGAGTGAGTAAGAAAGGTTTGCAAGTAAAGGGTTATGACCAAGTGCCCTGATGTATTTGCAAAAGGCAGCCCTGGGAGGCTGAATGGAGAGTGCCAGGAGGTAATACGGTTGACTCTCCCTCTGTTTCCATCAGTTGCTTCCCTCTTCTCCCTAGGCAGAGATCAGGAGAGTAACTGTCTAGCTGGGAGTGGTTATTGCACAGGGCACTGTGGGTGTGATTTAGAAGTGGGGGTGGGGAAGTGGATTAGGGATATGTGGACCAAAAATGTCACCACAGTAAATGTCACCTTAGTAAACTAAGGATTTTGCAGCCATCAAGCTACCAGCACTGCGTCCACCCCCAACTAGGCATCCTGAGGAGGCTCAAGATGGAGAGAAATGGAGGCTGCAGATAGTTAAAGTGCATATCAGAGGAATGATTTCAGTGAGCCCAGACTCTTGCATCTTCCCATACATAGAAATGAGCTGAATTCATTAACTTGAGATATCTGATTTTTCTTTAATTAACAGTAGTCTTTTGATGTTCTGACTACCTGAATTTTTTTGTTTGTTTTGTTTTTATTTTGCAAAAACTCCTGTATGTCCTGGCTGTTCCCTTACCTCTTTGGAGTGATCCTTCTGAGAGGTTGCCTCCTGGGCTTAAATCCTCAGCAAGTCTACCGAATAAAACTTAATTCTCAAGTTTTAGGTTGCGCATTTCCACCCCCACCCACCCCCCACCGGCTGACAGTGGGAATCCCTCCCATGTCTTTTCCACCGAGAACATTCAAGTAATCCTAGGTAACCAGAGCTTTTGATGTGTTCTACCCTGATTATTAGTGAATTAAATGGTATTTTGGGGGGAACCTGTAAGATTTTTGGTCTACAGGAAGAGGAACGTTTATAGCCCTCTTTACCTGATTTCTATCCTAGGGTTTACTACAGTAATCGAAGGGGACCTCAATGAGGGTCCAGATCAGGGTGTTGGCCAGAGCTGGGGAAAGAGAGAGGAGCCTGGAAACTCTGAAGAGATACAGAACAGAGCTTAATGATGTCGCCACGGCTGAAGATAACAAAAAGTGAAATGCTGCACAGTGGACATGCTCAGGGGACACACATTTTAAGATTGATTCTCTGCAGAGCTGAGTATTTAATATGTCAGCTTAGCGATAATACCCTCAAGAGCCTCACTTTTGTACCTGCCGTGATGAAGGCCAGCTCTGGCCTGGGCTCAGACAGTGCATTTGTGCCTGGCAGGTCCTCCTCAGCCTAGGGAGCATTCCAGGTCCTGGCTTCCGCCTCAGGCTGGCTTCCTGGCACTCCCTTGGAGTTGGTTCATCTTGTCTGTTATGGCTGGAGGGAAGCCTCATGGGGCTGTCTGTCGGCTTGAGCAGAGGGGTCCCAAGACACAGTGGAGTGCTTTCCTATTCCCCGCAGGCTGGATGAGGTCCCCATCAGTGCTTTTTAATTTCAGCCATGGGATCCTCTGCTCGTGGTTCAGGAGGGAGAGTCACAAAGCGAATGTGACAAGTATTTCATTTTATGGGACACTTTCTGAAGCCCTTATTAGAAGAAGAGATTTCCAAAGACGAAACAATGAACTGAACATCACAGGTATTGACCAAGCAAAGCCACGGCCCAGGAACTGCCTCAAAGCTCGGGGCCTGGCTGGGAGCACAGAGCAGCCGCTTTCAAAGGAGATTCTTAGACAGAAAGTCATAACTTATTCATGCTTCATAAACACACGCAGGCATTCAGGTCCCTTAAACACAGTATGCCACTTCACTTCAATTAACAGCAAAGTGGTGCCATTTGCTCACAAATTCTGCCAGCTTTGGTGTAGCGAGAGCTCCTGCAAGGAGGCAGCTAGCCATCAAACCCAAAACTCTAGCAACTCATTTGAATCCAAGAAATGCTGGCCTCCTTGGCCACAGGAAAGACATTTGGGGCCATTTCTGTTTTTTTCTTAATATAGAATAATTTGTTGTGATCAACTAGAAAGTCTTAGTGTCTGAGCTTCACTTGATAACTAAGAAGAGGTACAGATTAGAAATAGCATTCCTACTAGAGAAGGTGTGTGTGTGTTCAGCTGCTCATTTGTGTCCAATTCTTTGTGGCCCCATGGACTGAGGCCTGCCAACCTCCTCTGTCCATGGAATTTTCCAGGCAAGAATACTGGAATGGGTTACCATTTCCTACTATAGGGGATGTTCCCGATCCAGAGATCAAACCCATATCTCTTGTGCCTCCTGCATTGGCAGACAGATTCTTCACCACTGGGTCCACCTGGGAATATCCTGAGAAAATGAAGAAACAGATGACTGGATGTGCTGTCTGGTTGGAATCAAGAGCTGGGCTGTCGAGAACAACATTTTCCCAAGGCCTAAATGGCTTCAGTTCAGCACTCCATGTAACTATAGGCATTTGAATGGGTACAGAACAACATTAAGTGGCTCAGTGGAAAAGAATCTGCCTGCCAATGCAGGAGACAAGAGTTTGATCGCTGATATGAGAAGATCCCACGTGTCACGGAGCAGCTAAGCCCATGTGCCACAGCTATTGAGCCTGTGCTCTAGATCCCAGGAGCTGCAACTCCTGCGGCCCACATGCCTAGAGCCTATGCTCGGCAACGTGAGAAACCGCTGCAGTGAGAAGCCTGTGCACCACAGCTAGAGTAGCCTCCACTCACTGCAACTAGTGAAAAGCCTGTGCCGCAATAAAGACGCAGCACAGCCAAATAAATAAATACATACATAAAATTATTTTAAAAAACAACAGGATACTCCAGCATACGTGACAACCAAGTAGGTCTTTATTGATAACGCTCTTGCAAGCCCTTGTTGACACAGCACACCTCAAATAAATCAGAGAAATAGCCCCTACCCTTAGTCATCATGAAAACCAAAACCACCTCCAAACATTTCTAGAATCATATAGCTGGAAGGCTCTTTGGGAGATTACTTAGTTGAGTGACTCTTGACTGGAGTATTATTACCCCACTCTCCCCTACCCACCCTGCCATGGGGCCTCTGAAAGTGTTTGGAGGTGGTTTTGATCCTCATGATGACTAAGGGTAGGGGCTTTGTAACTGCAGTTAGAGCCCAGGAATTCAGGGACCTTAAGCATCTCGCCACAATGAGCAATTCTGTCCAAGAAGAATTGTCCCAAGTCAGTAGTGTTCAATTTAGACTGACTGCCACATTTTACAAATGAGAAAGCTGAGGCTCCGGTATAGAAGATCTTTTGTCTAAGATCATCCAGGTTGTGTTGGAGCTCTTTGCCAGGAACTGGGGACATAGACCATAACTATTTCTTCTTATACCCCAGTCATACTTAGCACAATGCCTGGTGTGTCATCAACCCTCAGTAAATGTCATCTGTTACCATCATCAGTATCACCATTACCTTCCCGAGTTAAGCTGATTCTCTTGCAAGTGAGGAAGGTTCCTGGGGTGTAGATTGGAAATACAAATTATAGTTTCTAATTAAAACAGGAGAGCAATCAGAAAAGTACAAGGGTCAGTAGACTTAAGACATGACATTCAGAATCATTCAGTTAATTCCAAACAGACTGTCTCAGCCTGAAAGGCTCTACTCAGGGCAAAAGACCATATGGTGGCTTTGTTGGTGGCATCTGACAGAGTGCTAAAGAACTGCCCTTTGGCCCAGTTGTTTTTAACTTAAATGATCTGGAAAAGAGAATAAATCAAACATCATGTCTACACAGAAGTGTGTCAAGCATAATAAAAACAAGTCAGAAATAAGAAGTTGTAAAATATTAGTCTCCAAGATGGAAAATAAAAATATTACTTCATGAAGAATGTTGGCAGTGCCAATCCATGTTAACTCACATAGGCTTCTGAGTCCCTGGCTTGATAGAAATACTTTTTAGGCAGGCTAAGATTTTAATTAAAATAGGAAAAGCCTCACAGCACTCTCTCTAATGATCATTATATACAAGGCTCATAAGGTTGGAAGAAACTGGGGAGGATTTGCAGGAGAAATAACTTTGCATAGAGCTTCTGAAGGCTGTAGGAGTCCTGAGAAATTATGTCATTTAAAATCATTACTTTATAAGAAACTAAAGCCTAAGGAGATGATGTAATTTACCCACATCTTACATAGTAAATGATATAATTCAGCACCGCCAGCCTCCATCCAGGACTGCCCTCACCACTATACCTCTAAAGAAACTGTAGAAATTGGTGATGGTTCCTCTTGGTTTTTTTTTCTACTCAGTCTTAAAAGGAGAAATTTTTTGGATACAGAGGGCTTCTGATATGCTCATTTCCTGAGCTTTTTTATGCTTTGAATATTTATATATAATGAGATGATCTTCCATTACAGGAAATAATGTCATGTTTTTCTCCCAGAATCTTCTCTGCAGCATTCTGGATAGGCATTTACCTGTAAAGAGAGAGCTGGTCAAGCCTAAGGCCAAGGTCCATTCCAGTCCCACCGCTGTTCCACCTTTACGTTTTTTAGAAGCCAGGCTCTGCTATTGCAAGCTGCCTAACCGGCTGGTGTCAAATAGATTGTGCAACTGAATGAAATGTGGAATAATTGCACCTTCCCATTAATCAATTATACAAGACTCAGAGCCATCCTTCCCTTAAAAGCCAATTGCTTCAGCAGTGGAGATTTCTCCCTTTTCATTAAATATGTCAGAAGTTAAGTTGGAAAGAAATCACATGGGTTCATACATCAGTGAAAGAGAAGTTCATTCACACAGAATAATGGGAGTGAGAACCACTTGAAACAGATTGAATGCTAATGGACTAGTTGCCTACTCTTTCTCGTCCTACAGAACAGAAAACACAAGTAAAGCTCGGTTATTAAGGGTTAAAGAAAGAGAACAGTCAAGAGATTTCTTTGGAGAAAATGCTCCAAGTTCTTTTGCATCCCCAAGATTAAGCTCTGTCATCATTTATGATAACGATTCAAAGTTTTTCCATTAGGTAGGACCAAATGCTTTTCAAATGTCAAGCTCTATCGTCATCAGCAGCAGCACGTAGTGTCCATTTCTGCATCCCATGAGATGATGTCTTAGTCTGTTGCGGTCCTATAACAAAATGCCACAGACTGGGTGGCTTATAAACAGCAGAAGTTTATTTCTCATAATTCTGGAGGCTTGAAGTCTGAGATCAGGGTGAGGGTGCTAATTTCTTCACATCCTTGCCGATACTTATAATCTGTCTTTTTAAAACTTTTTATTTTGTATTGGAGTATATTAGATTAACACTGTTGTGATAGTTTCAAGTGAACAGCAAAGGGAATCAGCTGTACATATTACATGTATCTCTTCCCCAAACCCCTTCCCATCCAGGCTGCCACATAACATTGAGCAAAGTCCAGTGTATCTAACTTTTTGATTATAGCCACTCTAGTAGGTCTGAAGTGGTATCTCGTGGTTTTAATTTGCATTCCCCTGATGCTAATAATGTCAAGCATCATTTCAGGTGCTTACTGGAAGCTTGTGTATCTTTGGATAAATTTCTGTTCAAATCCTCTGTCCATTTTTAGTTAGGTTATTTAGACTTCTTATATATCCTCACATGATGGAAGGGACTAGGGAGCTCTGTGAGTCTCTTATAAAGGCACGAATTCCATTCATGAGGGCTCTACCCTCATGGACCTAAGCACCTACTGCCATCCCTGTGGGTATTAAGATTTCAACATATGAATTTAGGGAGGAGACAAATGTTCAGACCATAGCAGATGGTGAGAACACTGTGCTTTTTAATCTATTCTTGAATTTGAGACCAGAGTGGTAGGTAGTGAGAGCTGTTTATGGGAATGAGATGGACTCTGGGTGTGAAAATTCAAGTCCACATCTTAGTTCAGAGATTTTCCTTCTCTCCTTAAGGCTTCCCAATCAACCAAGTGGGCACAGCTGGGACACACTCAGTGAGGTCAGACCCAAGACACGCTGAGGAGTCTACAGTCCTCAGAAGCCTGCTGTCTCCATCTGCTATGCTGGAATCTCGCTTCCTGGGAACCTGTGGAGAGGCCTCTAGATCCTCCTGGGATTCTCCGCTTTTCTGTTTTCAGTTATTTGGGATTTAAACATACCCCCAAATGCATAGGCAGAGAGTCCCTAGGCTCTGAGATTAGGGGATCAACTCCAGGGGTCCTGCTTTAGTAGGAGGTTTCCAGGCTTGTATTTAGTTTGGGGAACTGTGGAGATCATTTACTAACATGCCCATGATGCCAGCTCTCAGAGTGGTGTGGGTAGCAGTGATATCAGAGTGTACAGGAGCAGTATTATCTGTAATACCATTGAAGCTTTTTATTGAGTGTTTACTGAGTGCTAGGAACTATGTTAAGCACTTCACAGTCTGTCTTTCTTTGTACTTCTAACAGCCCAGCAAGGTGGATGTTATCCCTCTTTTACAGATGAGAAACTTAAAACTCAGAGGTGAAATAATGTGTCTAAAGTCATACACGGTGAATGGCAAAGCTCAGATGGAAGTCTGTCTCACTCTGGGACTTTCTTGGCTACTACTTTCTACTGCTCAAGTAAATAAGAAATACTTCTTATTTAGAGAGTCAAGACCCATCCTTGGAAATTAGTGGGAAAGACCTACAGGCACAAGCTATCTTCCCTTAATCTGGCCAGCTAGCTGGCCAGCCTCAGGCAGGCTGGCCCCTGACATTTGTGGGCTTGCCTAAGTTGTAAATGACACCCCATAAGACTAAATGTCTAAATATTTTAAAGTTATAAATCCAGCTAACACATAGTTAAATACAGTATGTTATCAATTTATTATTTATCATTTAAGTATAGTTGAATTACAATATTAGCCTCCAGTATACAACATAGTGATTCAATATTTTATCGATTATATTGCATTTAAAGTTATTATAAAATAATGGTGATATTACCCTGTGCTGTACAATATATCCTTCTTGCTTGTCTATTTCATCCATAGTGTTAATAGTTTGTATCTCTTAATTCCCTACCCCTATCATGTCCCTTCCACTATTTCTCTCCCCACTGGTAATCATTAGTTTGTTCTCTATATCTCTGAGTCTGTTTTGTTACATACATTCATTTGTTTTACTTTTTAGATTCCGCATATAAGCTGTAACATAGAGTATTTGTCT